CCACCCTCACAGCCCAGGAATAAATCCCACTTGGTTGTGGTGAATAATCTTTTAATGTACTGTTGGATCATATTAGGCTAAAATCATGATGAGAATTTTTGCATCCATGTTCATCAGGGATATTGGTCTGTAATTCTTTTTGGTGGGGTCTTTGTCTGGTTTTGGGATCAAGGTAATGCTGGCCTTAAAAAATGAGTTTGGAAGTTTCCCTCCCATTTCTATGTTTTTGAAATAGCTTCAGAAGAATCAATATTATTCTTTGAATGTTTGGTAGAATTCCCTTGGAAGCCATCCAGCCCTGGACTCTTCTTTGTTGGGAGGTTTTTGCTTCAATTTCATTGCTGGTTATGGGTCTGCTCTGATTTTCTATTTCTTCCTGTTTCAGTTTTGGTAATTTATGCATCTGTAGGAATGCATCCATTTCTTTCAGATTGCCTAATTTGTTGGCATATAGTTGCTCATAATGTTCTTATAATTGTGTTTCTTCAGTGTTGGTTGTGATCTCTCCTCTTTCATTATTTTATTTGGATCTTTTCTCTTTTTGACAAGTCTGGCCAGGGGATTGTCAATCTTATTCTTTCAAAGAACAAGTCTTCATCTTGTTAATATGTTCTATTGTTCTTTTGGTTTCTATTTTCATTGATTCCTGCTCTAATGTTTATTACTTCTCTTCTCCTGCTAGGTTTAGGCTTTCTTTGCTATTCTTTCTCTAGCTCCTTTAGGTGTAAGGTTAGGTTGTACATTTGAGAACTTTGTTTCTTGAGAAGGGATTTTATTACTATATACTTCCCTCTTAGGACTGCCTTTGCAGCATCCCAAAGGTTTTGAACAGTTGTGCTTTCATTTTAATTTGTTTCCATGACTTTTTAAAATTCTTATTTTTTATTTTTTTTAAAGATTTATTTTGATTTATGATAGACGTAGAGAGAGAGGCAGAGACACAGGAGGAGGGAGAAGCAGGCTCCATGCCCGGGGCCGACATGGGACTCAATCCTGGGACTCCAGGATTGCGCCCTGGGCCAAAGGCAGGCGCTAAACCGCTGAGCCACCCAGGGATCCCTAAAATTCTTTTTTAATTTCCTGGTTGACCCATTCACTCTTTAGTAGGATGCTCTTTAGCCTCCATGTATTTGAGTTCTTTCCAAACTTCCTCTTGTGATTGAGTTCCATTTTCAAAGCCTTGTGGTCTAATAATATGCATGGAACAATCCCATTCTTTTGGTACTAGTTGTGACCTGATTTGTGACCCAGTATATGATCTATTCTAGAGAATGTTCCATGTGCACTCAAGAAGAATGTGTATTCTGTTTCTTTAGGATGGAATGTTCTGGGTTGCCTGGGTGGCTCAGTGGTTGAGCATCTGCCTTCAGCTCTGGGCGTGATCCTAGAGTCCCCGGATTGAGTTCCACATCAGGCTCCCTGCATGGAGCCTGCTTCTCCCTCTGCCTATGTCTCTGCCTCTCTCTCTCTTTCTCATGAATAAAATTTTTTTTAAAAGGATGGAATGTTCTGAATATATTGTGAAGTCCATCTGGTCCAGTGTGTGATTCAAAGCCCTTGTTTCCTTATTGATCTTCTAGATAATCCATCCATGGCAGTTAGTACGGTGTTAAAGTCCCTATTATTGTATTATTGATGTGCTTGTTATTAATTGGTTCATTTAACTGGCTGCTCCCATGTTAGTGGTATATTTACAATTGCTAGATCTTGTTAGACCCTTTAGTTATGATATAGTGTTCTTATTACAGTCTTTGTTATCTCTGTTCTGAAATCTAATTTGTCTGATATAAGGATTGCCACCTCAGGGCAGCCCCGGTGGCACAGCGGTTTGGCGCCGCCTGCAGTCCAGGGCGTGATCCTGGAGACCAGGGATCGAGTCCCACGTCGGGCTCCCTGCATGGAGCCTGCTTCTCCCTCTGCCTGTGTGTCTGCCTCTCTCTCAGTGTTAAATAAATAAATCTTAAAAAAAAAAAAAAAGGATTGCCACCTCAGCTTTCTTTTAATGTCCATTAGCATGATAAATGGTTTTCCACCCTTCACTTTAAATCTGGAGGTGTTTTAGGGTCTAAAGTGAGTCTCTTGCAGACAGCATATCAATGGGTCTTGCTTTTTTATCCAATCTGATACCCTGTGTCTTTTGATTGGGGCATTTAGCCCATTTACAATCAGAGTAACTATTGAATGATATGACTTTAGTGCCATTCTATTAACTGTAGAGTCACTGTTTCTGTATATTGTCTCTGTTCCTTCCTGGTCTCTTTTGGGCTTTTTGCTTAAAGGATCCTTTTCAATATTTCTTGCAGGGCTGGTTTGGTTGTCACATATTCTTTTAGTTTTTGTTCATCCTGGAAGCTTTTTACCTCTTCTATTTTGAACGAGATCCTAGCTGGATAAACTTTTCTTGGCTGAATGTTTTTTTTCATTTAACACCTTGAATAGATCATGCCAGTCCTTTCTGGCCTGCCAGGTCTCTGTGGATAGGTCGACTGCCAGTCTAATGTTTCTAATTCTTGTGGGTTTCATACAGACCTACAGGATTTTCTTTGTCTGAGATTTGTAAATTTCACTGTTATATTCAGGGTGTTGACCTATTTTTATTGATGGGGGGGGGGTTCTTCGTGCCTCCTTGACTTAGATGTCGGTTTTCTTCCCCAGATTAGGACAGTTCTCTGCTATAATTTGCTCCAATATACCTTTTGCCCCTCCTTTTCCTCTTCTTCTGGGATCCCAATTAGTCTAATATTGTTTCACTTTATGGTATCACTCATCTCTTGATCCCCCCCCCCCCGGTGATCCAGTAGTTCTCTTTTACTCAGCTTCTTTATTCTCCATCATTTTGTCTTCTGGATCACTAATTCTCTCTTCTGCCTCATTTATCCTAGCAGTTAGAGCCTCTATTTTTTATTGCATCCCTTGTTAATAGTCTTTTTTATTTCAACTTAATTAGATTTTAGTTTTTATTTCTCCAGAAAGGAATTCTCTAGCATCTATGCTTTTTTCAAGCCCTGCTAGTATCTTTATAGTTGTCATTCTGAACTCTAGTTCTAACATCTTACTTATGTCCATACTGATTAAGTCTCTGACAGTTAGTACTGCCTCTTATTCTTTTTGAGGTGAATTTTTTTTCATCTTGTCATTCTACCTGGAGAAGTATAGATGGACAAGGAAACAAAATACTAAAATGGCAACAACCCCAGAGAAATATACACTAAAAAAAAATAAGAGCCAAAACCAAAGAAAAAAAATAAGAGTGCAAGAGAATATAATCAAACAGGTGAACAGAATAAATACACTAGGCCCTGTGTATATTTTGGTCCATTTGTTAGAAAACAAGTCCCAAAACTGTAATGAAAGAAAAACTGGGGCAGTCGAGGTGTCTCAGCAGTTTAGTGCTGCCTTTAGTCCAGGCCATGATCCTGGAGACCTGGGATCAAGTTCCACATTGGGCTCCCTGCATGGAGTCTGCTTCTCCCTCTTCCTGGGTCTCTGCCTCTCTTTGTGTCTCTCATGAGGAGAGGAAAGAAGAGAGGAAAGAAAGAAGAGAGGAAAGAAAAACTTCTATGTACAAAAAAAGTACAATGAAAGGATGGCATGTAACTAAATAGGTGAACAGAGCAAAACACTATATACTGATTGTATTTTGGTCAGAAGAAATTACATCTCAAAATTGTAGGGAAAGAAAAACTTATATAAAAATAAAATTAAATACATTGAGAGGACAGAATGTAACTGTAAAGATGAAAATTTAAAAAGGCTTTAACAAAACAAAAAAAGAAAAAAACAAAACAGCAAACATGATCAGACAGAGAATAGAGCCATACACTAGATTCTGGATATATTTTGCTCTGTTGGAAGAAACTGCATCCCCAAATTATAAAGACAGAAAATACACATACACATGCACACACACATTATAAAATTAAATACAACAAAAGGGTAGAATGTAACTTAACTATAAAAACAGAAATTAAAAAAGGTGGTATGATATCTATCCCCAACATAGGGTTCAAACACACAACCGAAATTAAAAGTCACACATTCCACCAACTGAGCCAGCCAGGTACCTTGAGAAAGGTGCCCTCCTACCCCAGGAGGAGGGAACACTCATCACTGGAAATGGAAATCAATACCAAGGGGAGTCTGTATAAACTGGACTAAAATAACCTTTTTCTTCCATTAGTTTCCACATTCGTTTTCTGGTAACTTTCCCCACAATATACTACCCCTACCAGTCTAACCCCTTTCTTTTGTCTACTTCACAATTTATCACTTTTTGTTAAAATGGTATATAAACCCCAAATCTACACACTTCTTTGAAGTTTTCACTTTTCTATAAAGTCTCCTATAAAAACAAAGTAAGATCTGTATGTTTTTCACTCATCAATCTGTCTTTTGACTGCTAAATTCACAGGGATTCTAAGAGCATAGAGTTAAAGTTTTCCTCTCCAACACCTTCCAGGTTATCAGTTGACTGCAGAAAAAAGGTGGAAGTAAAGGACTTTTTATGAGCTTGTGTATTGATTGTTTAAAAATCAAGAATTGGGGATGCCTGGGTGGCTCAGTGGTTGAGGGTCTCCCTTTGGCTTGGGTCATGATCCCAGGGTCCTAGGATCAAGTCCTGCATTGGGTGTCCTGCAGGGAGTCTGCTTCTCCCTCTGCCTAGGTCTCTGCCTCTGTGTCTCTCATGAATAAATAAATATTTAAAAATAAATAAAATCAAGAATTGTATGTATTGTATTTAAAGAAATAGCAAAGAAACTTTTCATCAATTCAAGTTATTCCTAAAGTCTTATTAAATCCCAAAGATAACCAACAAAAATTTTTAGAGATATTTAAGTTTATTAAAAATTTGAATATTTAACAATTTATTGAAGTCAGAAAAAAATTCTTGATATGTAAAATCTAGAAAGGTAGGCTCAGAAATTAGATTTCAAAGGATTGAGAAAGGATTCCTTATCTAAGTTTTTAGTATTACATTCCTTGTCAAACTGGGACTTGGAGGCCTTCTGGCATTCTACCCCTGACTAACCACCCTGACAAAGGAGTCAGAAGTAGCACACAAAACTGTGGGTAGAGATTCATATTCACTCTTATCCAAATGCAGCAAAAAGCACCAGGTTTCCTACTCACTAGAATGTAGCTTCTACTGCAATTCTTTAGAGTAATGAACCCGTAGAATCCATTTCTCCCACTCAAAGAGCCACTTGTGCTTTTGTCCTAATACCTCTGAGAGCTTGCCAGCAGTTAAAACACTGGCTGAATCATCACCATAGGACTCCTCAGATGAATGCAGGTAAAAATGTCTCAGAAGGTGGTTTACTCTGTTCTATTCTTTCACATCTCAAATCCAGTTGGCTGGTCACAGGCAGGTAGAAATGGGTTAATTATTTTAGAACTCATGATAATCTTTTCCAGAAGTAGATTAAGATCATTGTGGCAAAGCATGACAGAAGAACCTTGACCAGTAGTCTTTTCCAAGAAGATGGCAGCATGGGTGTGAAGAAGAGACAAAAGCCATCCTACAAGGGGGAAGGAGAAGGGAATTAGATAGTTTCAGAATGCTCTACACCTGAACTCAATAAGATGCACTAGAACTTCTGAATTTTTTTAAAAGATTTATTTATTCATGAGAGACAGAGAGAGAGAGAGAGAAAGAGAGAGAGAGAGAGAGAGAAGCAGAGACACAGGCAGAGGGAGCAGACTCCACACAAGGAGCCTGATGTGGGACTCGATCCTGGGACTCCAGGATTACGCCCTGAGCGGCAGACACTTAACCACTGAGCCACCCAGGGATCCCTAGAACTTCTGAATTAAACAGCAAGACAACTCCTGGATTTAAAGTGTAGAAAAAGTAAATACTGACCAAGAGGCAACCTGTACTTAGGAAAGTTAGGATTTTTAAGTAATCCAACATGGGAGAAAGAAGGACATAGGAGACAGTTTGTCACAGCAAGAATATTCATCTTTTGATTTACTTTTTTCAAAAGCTAAGAGGATACTAACCTCCCTACCCACCAATATATCTGATTAAAAATGGGCAGAGGACCTGAACAGACAAGATGCTCAACATCACTCATCATCAGGGGAAACGTAAATCAAAACCACAATGGGAGGTCATCTCACACCAGTAAGAATGTCTAGTATCAAAATACAAGAAATAACAAGAGTTGAAGATGTGGAGAAAAGGGAAGTATTGGTGGGAATGTAAATTGGTGCAGCCACTATAGAAAATACTATGGCAGTTCCTCAAAAAAAATTAAAGTAGAAATATCATACAACCCAGTAATTCAATTTCTGGGTATTTACCTGAAGAAAACAAAAACATTAATTTGAAAAGATATATGCACCCCTGTGCTCATTACAGTATATACAATAGGCAAACTATGAAACAACTCAAGTGTCCATCTATAGATGAATGGACAAAGATAGGATATATTTATACAATAGAATATTACTCAGCCATAAAGAAGGAGATCTTTCCATCTGCAACAACATGATGGACCTAGAGGACATTATCCACAGTAAAATAAGCCAGAGACAAAAAGCATGATTTCATTGATATGTGGAGTCTAAAAAACTAAAGAACTGAACAAAAGAGCAAAAATAGACTTATACAGAAAATTAGAGGGGAGGTGGGTGGGGAGATGGGCAAATTAAATCATGAAGCATTACAGATTTTCATTACTGTTTTTAGATTTGAGAGCGAGCATGAATGGGCATAGGGTGGAGGGGCAGAGGGATAAGCAGGCTTCTCACTGAGCAGGGAGTCCAAGGCAGTTCAATCCCAGGACGCTGAGATCATGACCCGAGCAGAAAGTAGACAACTGACTGAGCCACCCAGACACCCCACATTTTTTTTTTAAAGATTTCACTTATTTATTCATGACAGACAGAGAGAGAGGCAGAGACATAGGCAGAGGGAGAAGCAGACTCCCTGTGGAGAGACTATGAGGGACTCGATCCCAGGACCCCAGGATCACGACCTGAGTGGAAGGCAGACTCTCCACCACTGAACTACCAAGGTGCCCCATACCCCGCATTTCAATCACTGTATTGCACATCTGAAATTAGTAACAGTGTTTAATTAACATACCAAATTTTAAGTAAAAATAGCAAAATTTCAAAGAAAAAAAAAAACTAAGAGGAAGGTAGACTATCACATTCTTTTCCCAGGGGAAGGCACAGGCCATTTGGGGAACTGGCAAATTGCTATGTTGAAAATGATCACCTAAGGCAGTAAAACAAGTAGCTCCATTCAGAAAAAATGGAGAAGAAAGGAATGGAAGTCCAGAGAGTGGCTTTTTTTTTTTTTTAAAGTAAGGAAGCCAGGGGAGGGGGTGTTTAGGGAGGGGGGGGGAGAGAGAGAGAATGAATCTTCAGCAGGCTCCATGCCTTGCCCATCGGGCTCTATCTCACAACCTTGAGATCAGGACCTAAACCGAATTCAACAGTCGGTGGATTAACTCACTGAGCCACCCAGGTGCCCTGAGATAGTGGCATTTTTAACTGTAGCTAGGAGAGGTGTGGGCCTATCCAGTTTACTCAGTTGGGGGAATCTGGGCTTCCTGATGTTAAAGGAGGATTCCTTAGTCAATGTTAATTAGTTAAAACGAGAAATAAAAAAATGACCTCCTCCCAATCAATTTCCTCTTTAAGTGCTGAGGGCCCTCAGAGGCCAAATGCCTACTTAAGACAATGGCTCAGGTCTGGTTCTTAGAGTTCACAGGCCTGGATGGTTGAAGGACACTACACAAGCCAAAAAGAATGCAGGTGTTAAAGCTAATACCTCAACGTGTTGGTATAAGGTCAAGGTTCTGATTCAGGTACTACCTCTCCTCCACAAGTGGAGCTGAATTCATCACGACAGTTGAGGCCAACTGCCAACAACAGGCTAAATTTCCAGTAGTGTCTTCCTTAATTCCCTGGATTTTCTTTTTTAATAGCTGATTTTAATACTTTGGCCGTCTTTATTCTACAACGTGGGTCCTTGATTCAACTCCAGTAAGGAAGAGAGTAAAGAAACAGGAGTCTAGCTCAGAAACCAAGAGGCATGCTACCCTCTTCCTGAAGGATGAGCTTTCCTTGATCATTAAATTGGTTTAGGAGCTGCAGGGCAAAGGCCTGCCCCTCTAGTCTAAACCACAGAGATCAACGACCTACAGCTGAAAGCCAGGGCCCCTGGTTATCACCCAAACAAGGGTTGGGTGCAATGGATTAGAAGTGAAGGAACATTGAGTCGGTACCACCACTGGGTGCCTGCACCCACCCGCCAACACTTGGCTTTGGCTCTTCCTGAGAGGTGTTGGCGGCTGGGCAAGGGAATGGCTTTTCACACTTAGGCTGGTGCTCTCCCCCCTGCAGCGTTCTGGGGTCTGTCTCTCCAAAAGTGGCTTAACAGGCAGAGGAGAAAGAATCCACCTGGCCCAGGGCCCCCTCCACTGCCGACTTCACCAGTTTGGGGATCTCTCTATGAGCCAAACATCCAGACCTAACGTGGGTGCATCCTGAAACCCTGCTGACCCCCAAGGGGAAGGCCAAAGCGTGCAAACCAGGCGGCGCGCAGCTGCTTCGGAACCGGTTAATAAGAGCCTTCTAGCAAGGGCCGTCTCCGCCAGTCTGACTCCACCAGGAGGGGGGAGAGCCAGACTTCCAAGGGTCCTCCCCCTGCTGAAAGGTCTGCCCCAACCGCGCGAACACGGACGGCGAGGGCCCTCCGGGAGCTGGGCACCTGGGGCGCCCCCTCCCCCGTCCCCCCAGCGCTCACCCAGCCGTCGTGCGCCTCCAGCCAGGCGCGGTGCTGGCCTGTGAGCCGGCTGCACAGGAAGGCCACCAGGTGCCGGCAGTCCTGGCCGACCCCGGCCTCCCACTCGCCCGGCTCCGGCTCCGGCTCGCGTCCCCGCGAAGGTCAAGAGCGCCACCACACGGCCCCAGCTGAGGGCCTGCGGGTGGGCGAGGATCTCCCGCTCCAACCCGGCCACCAGCTCCACGCGGTTCCCCCGGTAGCCGCGGTAACCCGCCAAGAGGCGCTCGTGACGCCGCCGCACCTGCGCGGCCACGCAGCGCAGCACGGCGGCCTCGGGCGAGGACGGCGCCGGGGCGGGGGCGCGGGGCTCCCGGGCGCAGAACTGCAGGTAGTCGGCGAGCAGCCGCGCCGTGCGCTCGCTCAGCGCGTCCGCCTTGGCCTGGGCCCGCCCCCGCCCGGCCCAGGGCCCGCCCGGTTTTCTTTTTTTTTTTTTTAATCTTTTTTTTTTTTTAAATTTTTATTTTATTTATGATAGTCACAGAGAGAGAGAGAGAGAGAGAGAGAGGCAGAGACACCGGGAGAAGCAGGCTCCATGCACTGGGAGCCCGACGTGGGACTCGATCCCGAGTCTCCAGGATCGCGCCCTGGGCCAAAGGCAGGCGCCAAACCACCGCGCCACCCAGCGATCCCCCGCCTGGTTTTCTAGGCCCGGCTGCGCCTCTGCCGGGGAGGGGCCGCCCGCCCCAGCCCCGCCCCAGCCCCGCCCCAGCCCCGCCCCAGCCCCGCGGTGCAGCTGTTTTTCTAAGTCCCGAGAAGAGCCTTTGATGGGAATCCGGTCCGCACCTGTTCCGGCCGCAAAGGCCAGGCCCAGAGGCGTGCGCGCGATCGCAGAGGCCTCAGAGACAGAGACCTGGGGCGGGGGTTAGCCTGGGCCTGGGGACTAAGAACCCGGAGGCGACAGTCTGGAAAGTTGGGCTAGACTTTTGCGTCCGCTTGAGAAGAGACGGACAGGGCAGCCCGGGTGGCGCAGCGGTTTAGCGCCGCCTTCAGCCCGGGCATGATCCTAGAGACCCGGGATCGAGTCCCACGTCGGGCTCCTGCATGGAGCCTGCCCCCCGCCCCCGTCTCATAAATGAATAAAAACCTTAAAAAAAAAAAAAAAAGAGACTGACGAAGGCTACACACAGCCCTCCGCTGACGACTCCCTTGTAAGGGTTATCAGCGTCTCTCGATTGGACAGAAGCATCCAGGTGTGTGCTGGAGATACCTGTCTTTGGATCTGGGATGTTTCTCCTGCGGCTGCGGAGTGTTCTCCTGCAGGCTGTTCATTCACTCACGTTTATTCAGAACCTGTTAGCACTGGAGATGTAAGGGAGAACAAGGCCTGTGGCCCCTGCTCTCAAGAACCCTACGGTCTAGTGATGAACAAACAAACAAGCCCCCCTACAGTAGAGTTTAATAATCACTATAGTGGGAATAGTTGAGTACTCAGCTCCAGGATAGTGGCTGCTTCTGGTAGCTACCATTCCTGTATTTCTTAGAATTCTCTTTATTTTACTGGCCAATTCCTCTATTATAATTAATACTTCTTATACCAATCTTTCTCTGTCCATGATACTCTATGGCTTCTTTCTCCTGGTTGGTCCCGCACTAATACAGAACTGGTACCAGCAGTGAAAATTCTGGGGGTTCAGTGGTCTGGACTATGTTGAAATATCCCACCCAGGGTGAGAGATGAGTTGGTGAACTTTGCATCACCTATAAGAAAAAAGAGGCAAGACCCTTGGTAGGTCCTTCTGGATTTTAGAGGCAACATCCACCACATATGAGTGTGTGAATTCAGACCATCTACAGGCCGGTGGATTGGGGAGAACAAGAGAACATTCTGCAGCACATTTAGGCTGTAGTACAAGCTGCTGTCCCACTTGGGTCTTTTGCTCCAACAGACGCAATGATATGTGATGTGTCAAACAGGGATCCCGTATGGAGACTCCAGCAAATACCAGTAGAAGAATTACAGCACAGACCTCTGGATTTTCAAAGAAAATCTGTGTCCTCTTCTGCAAATAGCTAGTCTCCTTTCAAGAAGCAGGTTCTGACTTGCTACTGGATCATGGTAGAGCCTGAATGGCTAATCATGGGATATCAGGTGACCATGTAGCTTGAGCTTTCAGCATGTGGATGTTGTCTGACCTACCTAGATATAAGGCTGGGCATGCACAGCAGCAATCTGTCATCAAGTGGAAATACATATATATTATATAATATATATATATATATATATATATATATATATATAATGGACTGAACTCAGGCAGTCCATTAGGCACAAGTAAATTGCATGAGTAGGTGGCTCAGAGCCCTGCAACACAAATTCTTACTGCTTTGCCTCCTCCCTCATTCCATGCCTATGGCCTCTGAAGGATTGCTTATGATCAGTGGACTGAGAGAGAAAAACTCAAGCCTAGATTACGGATGGGCCTGCCTATATGATGTGCTGGTACCACATGAAAGTGGACAGCTGTAGCATCACAGATCCACTCAGGGGTGACTGTGAAGACATTGGTAAAGGAAAATCCTCGCAGGGGCCAGAGATTTAAGCCAGAGATTTGACGTTCCACTTTGTCTGGAGTGAGAGATAGCCAGAGTGCATATCTGCGTTGACTCTTGGGGAATTGCTGATGGTTTGGCTGGATGGTCAGGGCCTTAAAAAGATCAAGATTGGAAGATTGGTGACAAAGGAATCTTAGAGGTATGTAGCTGGATCCCTCTGAATGGTTACAGACTGAAGGTATTCACGTCCCATGTGAAGATTAAGAGCAGACTCTTACTCAGATAGACAAAATTCTGTGCTCTGTGGGTGTCAGAGAGCTTCTTTACTCAGCCAGCACAGTGCTTATTCTATGGCCCTGGGAACATAGAGGCCATGGCAGCAGGGAGAGTGTATGACGACAATGGAATTCTCTTTACAGAGGTTGAAATGGCCATTGGTACTCCTGGGTGACAGGTCTACCAGCAGTTTATAGTGAGCCAACTGAATTTCATCAGAAGGGAATATGAATCTCCCTACATTAAGCTCCCATTTTAACTGTGTTTGACATCTTATGGGTTCCCTTATGGAATTAAATTTTTTTAAAAAAGATTTTATTTATTCATGAGAGACACAGAGAGGCAGAGACATAGGCAGAGGGAGAAGCAGGGAGCCTGATGAGGGACTCCATACCAGGACCCTGGGATCATGACCCGATGACCCGAGCCAAAGGCAGATACTCAACCACTGAGCCACCCAGATTCCCTGAATTAAATGTTTTGATATATGTTCATATTTTATTTGCCAGAGAGTCATGATTTTACCTTTTTAAACATTTTTTTATAAATTAATTTTTATTGGTGTTCAATTTACCAACATACAGAATAACACCCAGTGCTCATCCCGTCAAGTGTCCCTCTCAGTGCCCGTCACCCATTCACCCCCATCCCCCGCCCTCCTCCCCCTCCACCACCCCTAGTTCATTTCCCAGAGTTAGAAGTCTTTATGTTTTGTCTCCCTTTCTGATATTTCTCACACATTTCTTCTCTCTTCCCTTATATTCCCTTTCCCCAAATGAATGAGAACATACACTGTTTGTCCTTCTCCGGTTACTGTGGCCAAGTTCAAAAAGGGTGTTGCCTGAGTTCTCCTCTGGGATTTGGATGGAATCTTGTCTCACATTTAGATCTTTCATCTATTTTGAGTTTATCTTTGTGTATGGTGCAAGAGAGTGGTCCAGTTTCATTCTTCTGCATGTGGATGTCCAATTTTCCCAGCACCATTTATTGAAGAGACTTTCTTCCAGTGGATCGTCTTTCCTCCTTTATCGTATATTAGTTGACCATAAAGTTCAGGGTCCACTTCTGGGTTCTCTGTTCTGTTCCATTGATCTATATGTCTGTTTTTGTGCCAGTACCACAGTGTCTTGATGAACACAGCTTTGTAGTACAACCTGAAATCTGGCATTGTGATGCCCCCAGATATGGTTTTCTTTTTTTAAAATTCCCCTGGCTGTTTGGGGTCTTTTCTGATTCCACACAAATCTTAAAATAATTTGTTCTAAGTCTCTGAAGAAAGTCCATGGTATTTTGATAGGGATTGCATTAAACGTGTAAATTGCCCTGGGTAACATTGACATTTTCACAATATTAATTCTGCCAATCCATGAGCATGGAATATTTTTCCATCTCTTTGTGTCTTCCTCAATTTCTTTCAGAAGTGTTCTATAGTTTTTAGGGTATATTTTGAGAACCATTTGAATGGTAAATGGTTCTCCAACCTTTTATTTTCAGGTTATAGGTGTCCTTCTGTCTAAAATGAGTCTCTTGTAGACAGCAAATAGATGGGTCCTGCTTTTTTATCCAGTCTGAAACCCTGCGCCTCTTGATGGGGTCATTAAGCCCATTCACGTTCAGAGTTACTATTGACAGATAAGAGTTTAGTGTCATCATGATATCTATTTAGTCCTTGTTTTTGTGGATTGTTCCACTGAACTTCTTCTTAAAGGGGAATTTTAAGAGTCCCCCTTAAAATTTCTTGCAGAGCTGGTTTGGAGGTCACATATTCTTTCAGTTCCTGCCTGTCTTGGAAGCTCTTTATCTCTCCTTCCATTTTGAATGAGAGCCTTGCTGGATAAAGTATTCTTGGTTGCATGTTCTTCTCATTTAGGACCCTGAATATATCCTGCCAGCCCTTTCTGGCCTGCCAGGTCTCTGTGGAGAGGTCTGCTGTTACCCTAATATTCCTCCCCATGAAAGTCAGGGACTTCTTGTCTCTTGCTGCTTTAAGGATCTTCTCTTTATCTTTGGAATTTGCAAGCTTCACTATTAAATGTCGAGGTGTTGAACGGTTTTTATTGATTTTAGGGGGGTATCTCTCTATTTCCTGGATCTGAATGCCTGTTTCCCTTCCCAGATTGGGAAAGTTTTCAGCTAGGATTTGTTCAAATACATATTCTGGCCCTCTGTCCCTTTCGGCGCCCTCGGGAACCCCAATTAAACGTAGGTTTTTCTTCCTTAGAGTGTCATTTATTTGCCTTAATCTGTCTTCATGGTTCTTTAATTGTTTATCTCTTTTTTCCTCAGTTTCCCTCTTTGCCATTAACTTGTCTTCTATGTCACTCACTCGTTCTTCCACCTCGTTAACCCTCGTCGTTAGGACTTCTAGTTTGGATTGCATCTCATTCAGTTGATTTTTAATTTCTGCCTGATTGGATCTAAATTCTGCAGTCATGAAGTCTCGTGAGGCCTTAATGCTTTTTTCTAGAGCCACCAGTAGCTGTATAATGGTGCTTCTGAATTGGCTTTCTGACATTGAATTGTAATCCAGATTTTGTAACTCTGCGGGAGAGAGGGCTGTTTCTGATTCTTTCTTTTGAGGTGAGGTTTTCCTTCTAGTCATTTTGCTCAGTGCAGAGTGGCCAAAAACAAGTTGTATTGGAACACGGGGGAGTATCACTGGTCCGTCTAGCTGGTCTTCTGGGGGAGGGGCCTGCTGTGCTGATTTTCAGGTGTTAGCACTTGGGGGAGCTGCTCTGCCCCTGCCTGCTGCGGGGCTCAGTGGGGGTTGTTTACCCCGTGGGGCCCCAGGAGGAACAGCCGCAGTGGCTATGGCAACTCTGGAAGCCTGGATTCAGCCTCTGCAGGAACTACGGGGCTCGGGCTCTCGGTTCTCCGTCTGCAGGGCCTGGAGGCTCCGGGGCGGGGCCGCTGATCTGCTCAGCTCGGGGCAGGAGCGTCCTCGCTGTCCTGGGCCCTCCCGGCCTCTGCCTGTCCCGGGGGAGGCGCCCTGTGCTCCGGGGCCTGCGCTGTGGGATTCGCGCTCCCGCCCTGCAGCTCCCTCCCTGGAGCCGCTCCCGAGCCCCTCCGAGCTGCTCCGGTCGGTCCCGCCGTGCGTGCTGCAGCCCTTAGGGAGCTCGGCGCACTCTCCCGGGGCGCAGGTGTCTGTTAGTGTCCCAGGGAGCCCGAGGGCATCCCCGCCCTCCTGGGTCCTGCTCCAACTCCCTGCGAGCCCCTTTCCGCCCGCCCGGGAAGGTTGGTGCAGCTCCTGCTCCTCCGGGACGGGGCTCTCCTGTCCTGGGGACACTCGCCCCGGCCTCAGCCCGGCTCCTCGCGGGGCCCCTCCCCCTCGGAGGCCTTTTGTTCCTTTATTTCTTTTTCCCCGTCTTCCTACCTTGATAGAAGCGCGGACTCTTCTCACTGTAGCGTTCCAGCTGGTCTCTCTTTACATCTCAGGTCGAATTCGTAGATTTTCAGGATGGTTTGAAGGTTATCTAGGTAATTTGGTGGGGACAGGTGATTTGGGAACCCTGCTCTTCCGCCATCTTGCCCCTCCTCCTACCTTTTTAAACATTGTATTTTAGCAGTTTTTTCTTAGATTTGGAGTAGTTTGGTGGTGAGTGGTAAATCTGGCCCTGCCATTGGTTAACTCTTAATAATTATCAGTTGGACCAAATAGCAATTGAACAAATTAACCTCTACACAGAATTTCTGACCCACACAATTCAAGGAGGCAGTTTGCAGTCAGATTTGGTTAAAATCCTACCTCTGCCACTTAGAAGCTGTACAGCCATGAGCAAGTTATTCAGCTCTCCTGGCCTCAATTTCCCTACCTAAAAAATGGAGGTAATAAACTGTCTACATCATACAGCTGTTACAAGGATTATGTGAGTTGGTGGATGCAAGGTGCTTACTTAGCACAGTGCTCAGCACATAGGAAAAGTTCTTTTTTTTTTTTTTGGAAAAGTTCTTTACAGAGAAATTTTTATTATTAATATGAACTAACCAGGATAACCATGCTCATTGTCCTACCTTTAACTGAAAATCAGAAGGTTTTGGTTGTTTTTTTTTTTTTTTTAAGATTTATTTATTCATGAGAGACACAGACTGAGAGAGAGAAGCAGAGATGCAGGCAGAGGGAGAAGCAGGCTCCTCGCAGGGAGCCTGATGCGGGACTCGATCCTGGATTCCGGGATCACAACCTGAGCTGAAGACTGATGCTCAACCACTGAGCCACCCAGGCGTCCCTGGTGTTTTTTTTTTTTTTTTAAATACGGAAAATAGCTACAAACTACCTACTATTTTCCCATAAAAATTTTTTAACAGCATTACTGTGATAGAGTTCACAAACCATAAAATTCACTCTTGCGAAGTATATAATGGCGGTTTTTAGTATACTCCCAGAGTTGTGCAGCCATCACCACTAATTCCATGACCTCAAAGGAAATCCTATACCCATTGGCAGCTCCTCCCCATTCATCCCACCCTGAGCTCCATGTAACCACCAAACTATTTCCCCTCTCTGTGGATTTGCCTATTCTGAATATTTCATATAAATGGAATCATATACTGTGTACTCCTTTGCATCTGGGTTCTTTCACTTAGCACACTTTTTTCAAGGTTCATCCATGTGGCATGAATCAGTACCTCATTCCTTTTTTATTGCCAAATGATACCCCACTATTTGACTATGCCACAGCTTGCTCATCCATTCATCAGTTGTGAACATTTGGGATATTCCACTTTGGGCAACTGTGCACATTTGTGTTCAAGTTTCTGTGTGGGCATGTTTTCATTTTTCTTGGGTATACACCCTATAGTATGAAGCCACCTATTATTGGGGAGCATGGACAGGTTGACCTCTGCTTCATGGTTCCTGGTTTATGAAAAAGTCCAGTGTTCACCGGTGGTATATTGGTTACATAACCATAGGTTCAAAGAGAGGCATTTTTCTGCTGTCACAATCTTTGCGTAAATGCTCTTGCCTTAGACATTGAGTTGTTCATAGTTATTTATATTAACCAAAGCATCATTCCTGATCCCATCTCCTTACTAGAGGGTCTGCATCCTTTTTACAATGACATGAACATACCCATTTCATTTTTGTCATCAGAAATGGCCATGAGTCAGCCATGTGGAGAATGAGCAGTCCTGAAGTCCAGCCCACTCCAGCCACGTCCCATCTAGAGAGCAACAGGTCTGTGGTATGCCTTGAAGAGTAACCCAGTGCTCTCCTAGCACAGGTGAGAGGGTGAATGGAGTAGCCTCACATTCTTACAAAGGATCCATAGAGACAAAAATATTCCCTGAGAACTTTTCCCAACTTGCTTCCTCAGAATTCCTGGCCCACTTCAAGTCTTGCCCAGTCCAGATCTCTAGGAACTGTATCTATATTTGTAGGTGACTGTTTTTTTTTAAGATTTATTTATGGAGAGAAAGAGAAAGAGAGAGAGAGAGAGAGAGAGAGAGAGAGAGAGAGAGAGAAGCAGACTGCTCACCGAGTGGGAAGCCTATACTGGGGCTCAATCTCAGGACCCTGAAACCTGAGCTGAAACCAAGAGTCAGATACTTAACTGACTGAGCCACCCAGGCACCCCTAGGACCTGTATTTTTTTAAAAAATATTTTTATTTATGATAGAGAAAGAGAGGCAAAGACACAGGCAGAGGGAGAGACAGGCTCCATGCCAGGAGTCTGACATGGGACTCGATCCTGGGGCCCCAGAATCAAGCCCTGGCCTAAAGACAGGCGCTAAACCACTGAGCCACCCAGGGATCCCCCTAAGACCTGTATTTTTAACCTGCAATTGACCCGAGTGTTTTTCTCAGCAGGCAAGTTTGGGAGATGGCAGATCTACAAATCCCTGCTCAGCCAGCTCTCCACGACTTGGGAGGAAGCCAGGTGGCAGCAATAAGGCCCCAACTCTAACCCCAGTTAATCAAACCTGTCTGCAGGGCTCACCGATCCCAAGTGCCCTCTTCTGAAAAGCTTTTCAGCAGTCCGCAGGCCCCAGTTGGTCTCCAGCCTCCACTACCTGTGCCTTCCCACTGCCTGAACCTCCTCTGAAGGCCTCTCCTGAATGACCCTCAACCCCACCCCTCCCTTTTTGTTCATGCTCCCATAAGGGTCTTACTCTCTTTAGGGACTTCTCACTCAGTGGTGCCTGGGAAGGGCTCATTAGCCCTATCAGCTGTTTTCAAAGTATAGTACCAACCCAAAACCCTTCAGAGGAGGGGGCCCAGGATCAAAACTCCTTCCATAATAATACTGACTTTCTTTGTGTGCATTTTTTAAGACTCTCATGCTCTGAGGAGTTATCCAGAGCCTATTAATATTTGGGGAAAGCCTCACCAATGGAATGTGTGCGTCTGCATTCTTGTCTCTTACAATTTTCCTCAGTTTTAATTTTTAATATGGTAAATTTTGATAGATATAACCCAAATAACCAAAAGCTCAATAATTTTTAAAAGTGTAGAGGGCTCATTAAGACCCAACACCTCGAGAACCACTGGCCCAGAAGAATCTCTAATTGATAATAACTAATTGGATACATGAGTAGGGGCTGCTTAAGAAGGGAGGAGGGTGTGAGAGCTGACGGAAGAAAGAGGAAGGAAAGGGACATAGGGAAGATGGGGGGGCTAGGCATGGGAGAGCAAGAAGGGAGAAGGCAGGAAGCAGGGAGCTAACCCCTGCTGAAGATGAGTCAAAGGCTGAGGTAGGGGCTTCATGTATTTTAGCTCTGTCCCTCCACACACGAGGAAACTGAGGCTGAGAGTCAGATATCATAGATGCTATCAGAGTGGGACAGCTGGGTCTGAACGTAGGCGCACATCCTTTGTCACTGTGCTGCCCCCTTCTAACTTACAGATGAGTCCTAGTGTCAGTGGTGCCACCTTCTAGCTTAGCTGGCTAAGCAATCATGAGGGTCCGGGCTACAAACACTTTTATGACCTTTTTGCTGTCTTGAAGCCACTTTTTTTTAAGATTTTTTATTTATTTATGAGAGAGAGAGAGGCAGAGACACAGGCAGCGGGAGAAGCAGGCTCCATGCAGGGAGCCCGACGTGGGACTCGATCCCGGGTCACCAGGATCACGCCCTGGGCTGAAGGCGGCGCTAAACCGCTGAGCCACCCGGGCTGCCCCTTCTAATCGAGGGAAGGTATAGAGGAGGCCAAGGGGTGGAAGGGGGACATGGATATGGAATGCCTACCTTTGGCTCATTCCAGAGTTGGGCTGGCAGCTGGGCCCCACTTCTGCAGGGCCAGCCACCCACTTCCAAAGCAGCTGCCTTGATTTTGGTTCACAGATATTTCCCATACATACCCATCACCACACTCCTCCTTATCTAACTCCCCTTCCTGCCTAACCCTTCTCTTCTCTGGCTGTGCACACCTGAGAGCACATCTGTGTGGACCCTTCCCTGCAGCTGGTTTCATAGGTTTGTCCCCAAGTCCTCCAGAAAGAAGAAAAACTGATGACAAGACTCCACGCAGCATTATTTTCAATATGCAAAATACAATTTATTATCTGGAGTTACCCCGGAGGCCCCACATGGTGTAGCATATTCCAAACCAAGTGTTCCATCGATAAATACTAAAACAACACCCACTACAAAATCAAATACTTCCAGGGAGGTAGCTTACTGCCAGTGGGGATAAGTGAGTGTTCTAGGGAATACTTCACAGTTTTTTTTCATAGCTTTTTTGATTGGAAAGTTATGGATCATTTTTGCACATATACTGAAGATGCTCTCTGCCTCTCCAAACATATACCATTGAATTTGCTTCCCTTTAGTCTAGGTGACTTTTCCTTTGTCCCATCTTTGTTTACTTCTGGGAGGTCTAGGTCAGAGAGCAGAGACACTAAAGGGTCAGTAGGAGAGAGGGAAGGGGATCCCATACCCAGGAGATCAGGAGCAAACTCTGGGAGTTCTGGGAGTGGAGCTGGGGAATCCCATAAGGTGCACTCTGGGGGCTGACTCTCTCAGCAGCTGGCAGGAGCTGGGGAGATCCTGTTTCCATATCCCTGAGCCCCTGCCCAGCCTGAGATCCACTGGGGAATGATCAAGAAGGTGGCTGAGAAATGGTCCCTCCTCTGGGCTCTTTGGAGTCAAGCAGGAGCCTTTTACATTTCTCTACCCCAGGGTGTGCTGCATAGTAAAACCCTCAGTAAAATGTTTGCTTGGCAAATGACTGAATCTAACCATTATATTTACTTGAAAAGAACTGGTGGAAAAGCTAGCCTGGCTGTTTCTTGACTGACTGGCCCATTATGATACCGGAACAAGTGGTTTTGAGGGTAGGCCTGGCACACATCGTGATGTTTGCAGGAGCGCCAGCCAGATCCAGGCCTGTCTGATGGCCATGCCCTGCTCCTGCTCTGGAAGGGCCTCTCTAAGCAGCAGGGCCTGGGCTTGGCTTGCAGGGCCAGAATTAGGACAAGCGAGGGGTCTGGAGGACCCAGGGCACTAGCACACATAGCCCTGGGGCACCATAAGACCCCAGACCACCCACAGGGCAGGCCTCCACCAGGAGTGATTTTCGGTGTGTGAGGCAACCTTCTATTTCTCTAAGTAATGCATGCTATCTTTATGAATGAGGGGTTTGCTAAAACAAAGATTAAGCCTCAACACCTTAAGAACAAGGAAAAGAGGGAATCTCCTAACAAAAACAGGTAGTGTCTTCCAGAAGGAAATGCTGAATTTCAAATAAAGACAGGTATTTTCTGTGTTATTTTTTCTCAATCTAAGACACACAGAGACATTATCACTCGGGGCCTATCAACTAATTTGTGTATGTAATTATATTTTCAGTGCAATAAATATGAATATGCTTCATATGGATATGATCTACTGTAGCCTGAGTGGATACTACTAGTTCTAATACATCTAATACTACTAACAGGTTTTTAAGTTTACTGTCTTATGTTCCCACACAAGAAAGGTTTTGGTTGCTCTGGGAAGCATTTGTGTCACAAACCGCTTTTCTCTCAAATGACAGCAAGGATCCTGTCCAAGCGATTCATCACATCACTCATGGAATTCATAAATCAAACATCCTGTCCACTTGATGGATCTCTCTCCTCTATTTATGACCGTTCACACAGAAGGAAATGTTTGCTCTGAAAAAAGATGTGAGACTGAAAAAGAACATTTTACAATAAAAATATTTTTTTAGAAAGGGATTTTGTCCAATTACGAATTTTCTATCACAGATCACCAATCAACATGGTCTGCCTCATATAGTCCGCTGAGATCAGCACTTCCAGAGGAAGTTTCCAAAAGACACAGTGCACGCTCTGAGAGAATCAGATTCTAAAGTGCTCTGAAAACAAATCTGATTCAAGGAAGTCCTGGGGACGTATTAAATGCTGAATCCTACTGGTAATAGGATGCATTGAGACTGTATAATTAGAATAACCTTAAAAATGGATACATTTTAAAAAGCATTTAAAATGCAAAACACTGTACTTGAAGGTGTTCTAGTGCTGAAGGCCCACACCGGTGTGTTTCCAGGGGTGGAAGTCGTAATAGGAATATCAGAGACACAGAGTGAACTTGCATCCGTGGAGTCACTCCTGCAAGCTACATTGCAATAACCCTCAGATTCTCTAGAAGAAAGAACTATTTACATATGACGATTTCAAATTCTACTCTCAGGTGCCTACGTGTGCATCTCGAGGAGATGATTAAGCCCAGACCTGCAAAGTCACCAACAGATAATTGTTAGTCCCTTAGTAATTAACGACTTGTGAAACTTGAGTTAAAAGACAGAAAACAATGTTTTACACACACACACACACACACACACACACACACACACACACACACACGTGCCCCATCCAAAATAAAGCACTCATATTTTGGATGCATAACACCTTACTCCTGGCAACTCAAAGGTGCTTCTTTAGACCTGCCTCTCCCCCTAGCTCTGCTGAATCATCTGCAGGGCATCTGTGACCTTCCTACCAGGGACTGGTAACTCCTAGGCTGAGTACCTAAACCATCTGTACCCACACACCTCACTGAGTACATTAAAGTGACTTTACTGATTTAGGAAACTCTTGCCCTGGAAGATGAATTCACAGATACCTTTGTTGTATGTTTTAGGAACCTCACAAAAATCCTTTATTTATCCTAAGAGTAGACTACTCAAACTACCCTTTTTAGAAAAGACATTCACTTCTCAGGCCTACCCAGAGCATCAACAAATGACTGGTTACTTTTCAAGACTGTCTTCAAAATCCTCTTCCTCCCCTAACTATGTGTCCAGCAATCTTAAAATTATTATTCCACAAATGTCCAATCCTAATTAAATCCTTACATCTGGCCTTAAACCAGACCCCCTACCCATACCTCCTAAACATATGTCTTTGTTCTCACATTCTGAGAGGCCACTAAGACTGTCAAGTTTGTGTTCTGTCCCCACCGAGGTAAGAAATAAACTTAGAAACTTAAGAAATAAACTTTGCTTTATGAATAGGCTATTTTGGAGCTATTTATGAGGAGCCAACATCCAACAAGGTCATAGAGCTCTTTGAGAATCTGATGAAAGCCATGAGGACAACTCTTCCCAGAAAAATGGACACATGAAATGTGACCTATAATTTTGGGGACTTCATGAGTTCCCTAAAGCCCCTCTGTGGGTCTCACAAAGGTGTGTCACCATGGAATAAGAATGTTGCACCACTGAGAGGTGAGATTGACACTGTGGTTTGCCCAAGATAGAATAAGAAGAATCCTACTTTCAGGATCAATGGGAACTGCTTGGGTCACCTGGCCCAATTATTACTTCAATTACATGCTGATACATAGTTATTTAACCAAGTTTGAACACCTGCCTCGATGGGGGACTCCCTACCTCTCTGGGGCAACGATCAGTTCTGGGGCCATGAGCTGAAATTAGAGCTCTGTCTGGCTGACATGCCCCATGTTTACGCTGAGCCTCTGCTTTAAGAAGGCCAATCACTCTTCCTCTCACACACACAGTAAAATAAAAGAATGTCTCTCTTACTCTTAGGGTATGATCCCATGATCCTGAGCAAAAAGCAGTCCCATCAGGGGAAACTCGTAGAGTGCTGACTCGGTTTTCATGTCCAAACAGGATGGAGACTCGGGACCCCTTAAGAACATCCCAGACATTGATGGTATAATCGTTGTATCCAGCAAATAATAGGCGACCTCAAAGTAGGAGGATATGATGGTTATTGAACCAGTTCTTCCCTTTCTGTTTTTCTTTTCATGACTTTCACTCATGCGATCACACAGTCACTTGCTCGCTCATTCATTCATTCATTCATTCATTCATTCAATCAACAGTGATTTTGTGCCTGCTATGTGCCAGGCATTGTGCTTTGCCCTGGGGATTCTGAGAAGAGAGCACGGTTACTGTCCCTTGTGGAGGGCGGTGGTAGGCAGGCTAGTAGACAATAAATGGACACATGGTAGCACCACGTAATAAGGGCTGTATTGGAAATGCTTAGCTGTGTGTACAATGCTATGTGCTCATGGAGGAAGGAGAATCAAGGAGGGCACTGCACAGGAAGTAACATGAGTTAGCTCTTGAGGGCTGAGTAGGAGTTTGCCAGGCAGAGAAGGGAGGCAAAAGATGTTGTAGGCAGCAGCAGCATGCATGCCTAAAAGCACAGATTTAGCCTGGGGAGCTGTGTCTGGGGAAACTGATTGTTCCTATCTGTGCTGCCCTAACTCTTACTAGCCGCCTCCCCAGCTGTGAGGCACAGGTGGCATGAGCTTCAAGGCATCGAGAAAAGGGCTCTTGCTTCACCCCTGCTACAGCTGGAAAAAGTCCCTTTTCAGGGAAAAAGGGGAGAATGGAAGGCAGAGGAGGAAATGCCTAGTGAATGGCTCTGCAGATGTGAAGTTTCATGCATCATTGTCTTGAACAGCATTAGGTGGCACAGCCTTCATTTCCTGTAAAATGAATGGAGTGGGGAGGCCGCTTCAGGTGCGGTGAAGTGGGGTGGGGGCTTGTGGAAGAAAACCAGTGCAAATGCAGATCGCTTAACACATTGGCTCCCAGGAAGTTCAGCTGAGGGAAAGCTTGATGAAAAGCTGGGTTTCATTTATATCCTGTCTTACAGCCCCAGGGAAGCTTCTAAAAGAAAATCTTACCACTGAGGGAGAAGTCCACACTGGATGCTCCAAATATGATACTCTCTTTGGAATAGATGGCAACCTCTCTGTCTGCCCGGAGGTCATAGAGGCGACACTGGGGTGACAGAGAAGATAAAGGAACACTTAATTCTGGCTCCAGGTTGGTGAAGAGAGGGCCACAGGGCTAGAGGCAGGTGCCTGTGGCTTATGTAGTTTGAGGATGAGGGAAATACCTCTGGTTTCTTCCCCTAGTATTTTCTTCCGATTCCTATTAATTGGCATGGATCAGTGGAGATTCAAAGAAACAGCAAATACAGAAGATTTGGGAGAGGAATCAAAACTGAAAATGAAACCTCTTTTTTTTCTGATAAAGGATACATACTCATAGTAGAAAATTCAGAAAAACTCAGAAATGCCTAAAGAAGGAAATAAAAATCACCCCAAATCCTAGAGGTATTTACTTACATCGAGGCTATTTCCTTCAGTCTACTTCCATTTCATGCATATATTTAAATGGAGTGGGTATTTCCTTATCACTTCTATTAACATCAGGTTATGAGCATTTTTCTCGTATCATTAAATAATCTTCAAAAAGACATGACTAACATGGTTGCTGAATATTTCTTATGTGGATATATCAGAATCTGTTTAACCATACCCTGTTAAGAGTTTTGATTGCATCTAATTTTTCTCCTTTATAACTAAAATTTTGGGAACCATTCTTAGGTAAATATCTTTATGCATATCTCTGATGTTTTCCTTAGAATAGTTAAGGAATAGAATCCGAAGAATAAAACTGTTTCAAGAAATAGTATGGCCAGATCAAAGAATAGGGATGTTTTGAAAGCTCTTGGATCATATGGCAAAACTGTTTTCCAAAAGAATGGTACCAATGGGCCTAACTCCAAGCTCTTTGACCACATCACCTCCACAATGCAGCATTTCACTGCTAATCCAAATGAGCAGTGATCACTTAAACTTGCATTTATTGGAATATGGGTGGTCTGATGGTCTGAAAATGTTTTCAGGTGTTGATTTGCCATTTTGGATCTCCTGTGTTGTAAAAAGTCTACATTTTATCCCCTTTTTAAAAATTGGGGTGTTTATCTTATTGATTATCCAACCCCATTCATATCTAAAGGATTTCAATTTGGTCATATAGATGGCAAACATTTTTCATAGATGTATGCCTTTATATTTTGTTATACATTTTTTGGCATATGGAAGTTTTACATTTTCATTTTTTAAAGATCTTATTAATTCAGTATTTATTTGTCTTCCCTCTGTCAAATCCTGAGCCAACCACTTTCCCCAGGCTGCCTATAGAGGTATAGCAAAAGGAACATGTAGGGCAGATGAGATATGGGAGAAATAAGTTCCAAAAGTATTAATTATAGGAGTGCTTCTTAACAGTTAGAAAAACCCTTGAAAAACCCAAGTGTCTAAAAATTGACTAGTTAAGTACATAACAGCATTTCCATAACATGAAATACTATTCAATCACTAAGAAAATACAATGTAGATTGGCTACATTGGCATAAGAAAATGTTCACAATCAATTGCTAAGTGACAAAAGCAAATTATAAAGCATTTTGTTTAAAAATTAAAAAGACACAAAGGAAATCACCCAACTGTGATTTTCTTGGGTTGGGAGATTAAGGTATTTTAATCCCCTACCATTTTCCTCAATGAATTCACTTTATTAGTATAATAAAAAAACAATAATTTTGAAAAATAAAATTAGATCATTGCATATCTCTTTTTTTTTTAAAAAAAGTATTTATTTATTTGAGAGAGAGAGAGAGAGAGAGCACATGCAAAAGAGTACAAATGGGGGAAGAGGGAGTAGCAGGCACAGTGCTGAGCCGGGAGCCTCACATAGGGCTCAAACCCAGGATCCCAGGATCCAGGATCATGACCTGAGCCGAAGGCAGATGCTTAACTGATTGAGCCACCCAGGCACCCCTGCTTCTCTCTTGGAATAGGATAAGCTGTCATAACATAGAAACATACCGTAGCATCATCTGATCCTGAAGCAAAGGCATCTCCACTTGGGTAGTACCTGCAGGAGAAAGTTTGGATAGAAAGAGCCTTATTTAGAGTGGTGATTCTCAATCCTGGATGCCTATCAGAATCATCTGGAAATCACCTGGGAAGGTTGTCCCATGCCAGGCCTATGGAATCTGAATCTGAATCTCTACTTCTAAGGACATAAGGACCACTCTTCATAGAGGCCAGAAAGGGAGGCTCATCTGGCTGCCCCACTGGCCTCTAGTTTTCTCCCCTTTTAAGTAGGGGCCTTGCAGAGCGTTGGTGAGGAGTAACTGAGATGATGTGTGTATCTGCACCAGGCACTGAACACAGAGCAGGCGGTCTGTAACCATGGTTTCCACTGAGTACACCCCTCATTCCTGAGATTTGGCAGCTCGGGGATAAGAAAGTGATCATCTAAACAGATACTGGAACCCTATGTACAGAGCCTCTGCACTGACCACTGCCTGCCTCCACGTGATACCTCTGGTGAGGGACTTTACCTTGCCCAGCCTCAGTTTCTGCATTTGAAAACCGAGGATGCTCATGCATTTTCCCTGTTGCAAAGACCGAATCATATAGGCAAAGACCTAGGCACGGTGCCAAATGAAAAGCATTCAACAACTAATGCTTATTACTGTTCACTGTCTTCTCGGGAAGACATTGTCTTCTCCTTTTCCTGGGGAAAGGGAAGTTAACACTGAGACCTAGTGGATGTTAGAGGAAGTGGGGTCAGGGTAGGGGGAACAGCATGAGTGAGAGAATGGTGCATTTTAAAAGTATATTCTATGAATATATAGGGGTTTAGTTTATTTTTGTGGCTTTATATTCTGTCCTGCATTGCACCACCTTCATTTATTATCTGTATTAATTTCCTTTGATTTTCTAGGTAATTACTGCACATTTGCCAAAAGTAATAGTCTTTTCCCTTTTTCTCTATCCTACAATTGAGGGCAAGGACCTAGAAAGTTCTTACTAACATAACATTTCTATTGTTAATGTAAATAAGAACTGTTCTCTTGTTCTTCCTTTTAAGGGGAACAGGTCTAGTGTCTTTCCCACTAAGTATAATGAAACTTCTTAGATGATTCTATTTCAAATACTGTCTTGACAGTGCCATCTTCCAAATTTACATGTCGAGTCCTTGCTTCTCTCTTGGATCCAGTGCATACATCCTGCTACCTACTCAACATCTTCACTCGGTTGTATGATAAGCATCTTAAATGTAGCTGTCCCAAAGCAGAGCTCCAGAACCATGTGCAATAACCACATCCTACCTGTACTTCTTCCAGTCTTCCCTGCCCTAGTAAATGGATCACTGCTTACTGCCCCTTATGAATGGTTTGGGTTCCAAGCTCAAGGTCCTTCTCTTGTAATGCAAACCCTGGCCTGTGCAGGTGTCATTTGGTCCTCTCCATTTCACCCTGTGGATTTGGGGCTCTGGCAAGCAGCACAAAAATGCCAATACCCTGACTATTGCCACTGCTGGGAGTAACAAACTGTCCTTCATATCAAACCCCGGAGTTTTGTGTCTTCTACTAGCATCCATGAAACTGTGGCAGCCTAACTTGATAGCTTGCAGCTAGGGTAAAATCTCAGAAATGTCACATTCTGGACATTTCTGTCTCCACAATGTCTTCTTTAGTTCCAGCTACCATCACCTCTTTCTTGAACTCACACAACTTTCTAATTGGTCATCACACTTCCATTCTTTCTTCCCTACAGTCTATTCTCCAAACAGTAGCCAGAGTGATCTCTTAAAGGCAAAGCAGAGACCACGTCAGCCACCCCCCAAACTGGCCTTTGGTTAGGTCCTTCCACATCTCATTTTAACCCAGTTATGTGCAAGCCTGTCTCTTTCAAACATCACTTTCTCAGAGAGGCCTTCCCAGACCGTCCTAAGCAATAACCCATCCCATCCCATCTGCCTGTTTTACTTCTCTCCTAGCACTGAGCACCACCTTAAATTAAATTGTACATTTATTTATTTGTATTTTGTCTTATCTCCTGCAAGAAAGTAAGAGACCTTCTCTATCCTGTTCACAAGTTCCTGGAGCAATGTCTAGCACATAAGTCTCAATATGTATTTACTGAATAAATGAATGAGAAATACTGACTCTGTTTATAGAGAAGTTAATATCAATTGCTCCGAGTGGCATGAAATTAAATATCTCCAAGAGATCTGGAGCACCGTCCAGGGCCACCACAAATCAGCCTTTCTTGCTGGGAAAACCTCTCTCAGCCGAGTAAAAGGAGTCTGGATGTGGGTTCTGGGCTGAGCATTACCCCACACCAGGGATCACCAGCAGAATGGAGAATTTACATGAATATTCTACTCACTGACCGGACACTGTTGATGTCAGATTCGTGTGTTTCAAAGGCCTGCACGCACTGGCCGGAGCGCATGTCCCATACCATGGCTTTCTTGTCACATCCCTACAAATGCAAAGTTACCCAGAGTTATGGCCACTGCAAGGCCTGTCTACGGACAAGCACGAGTTCTCATTATTTAACAGAGCTGTTTACCTCCCATTGGCCAAAAAGATACATTTCTGAGACTAGCTTTACCTAAGGCTGCTTTCCTCAACGGATAAGCCCTGAGAAGATGAGACTATGTCTTGGGGTGTGGGGGAGCAAGGGAGGGCACCCAGCTTTCCCCTTCAGCATGTTTTCTTCTTTTGCACCTTTCCAAGGTGGGTGCAAAACCCTCCAAGGACTCCTTGTTTTCCTCCTGGGCACTTTTCTCTTTGTTCTATCCTTCCCTTCCTCCCTTTTCCTTATCTCTGCCTCCCTAAGCCCAGGGGGAAGGGCAGGCAGACAATGGGTGCACGGTGGGACCACCCTGCTTTGTCTCAGGTGTATGGGACAGCCCTGAGCAAAGGTAGAGCACCAGGGGCCCTCTGCTGCATGCTGGCTGGGCGTCACGACCTCGCCAGCAGTTAGCTGGGTGTCCTAACAAGTCACCGTCCTGGGCTTCTGCCTCACTACCTATAAACCCTCTCTAGGTTGCCGACATGACCCAGAGAATCATAAACATGAGGTTTTCACATTATACCATCACGGTTCTAGGAGCATATGACAAGTTCCTGCAGAGCAATCCTGTTATCCAGCTTGGGTAGGATAATGTAGACTCACTAAACAGAAGTAATGGCTTAAAATTGGTGTTCAAGCTGCTGGTTTCAGCTGCAAAGAGCGGGATGAAGTACCATAACTGACTTTTCAGAAGTCCCCGCTGTGGGGGTTCAGCACTCTGATTATCTTTAATGAAGATTTGGACAAAGCAATCAGGAGTGTCTTTAAATCTTTTAAGGACACTAAATCAAACGGAGGTCAGTGCTCTGAAAGACACAATAGAATCTACAATGATATCAACAATTTGAAAAGACAGTGCAGTTGAGGAGGGATAAATACACTTATTGAAAGGCACGGAAATGAAACATATGCAGATGGGGCCAAATACCCAAGAAGAAAATGGGGTTCCTGCTGATTAAAGGCCACACAGCCCTCACCTGATGCTCAGCTCTAAGACCTAAGCAGCTTGGAGCAAAGGGCCCTTCTGTCCTCCAGCTGCAAATGCCACACAATGGTCTGTCCAGCACATCCTCTCTCACCTCCTTCCTGACTAAAGTGACAGAGGTCCTGAGCCAGGTCAGCTGGGTCAGTTCCCCATTCTTATTTCTGGCTGTCCACAGACATACTGGCCTCTGACATCTGCGTAACATATTGTCAACTCTCCCACCTAGTATACTCCACGTCATATCCTGGAGGAGTGGGAGTACTGTTTTGCATCACGCCCAATTTACAGATGAGGAAATTTAGTCAAGTAGTAAAGCTGGGACTCAGGCATCCTGATGGAGTGTTCCTCTGTGCCACTGTGGCCTTCAAATGTTCTCTGCTCTCCATGTCCTGGGGTAGGAGGGTGACGGTGAGTGGCAGGGGCAGGGCAGGGTGGGACAGGGTCCCACAAGCCCCATGCCCGGATCACACCACAATGCTGCCTCACTTCGGCAGCCATCTGACTGGCTTGGTACCCTTGTGGCTCGTCTCCAGTGATTTCAGATGCTGACTCTGCTATTTGCTTGAGGAATAACCTTTTAAAATGTGGTAGATATGCACCTCAAGTCACAGCATTCACATGAGAACATTCCAGATCCCAGTGTAGACTGGATGTCAGCAGCAGAACAGGAGACCCTCAGAGCCCCGCACTGTAACCACCCACTAAGCACTGGCATTGCCGTGGGTGTGATAGTGAGTGGAGGACAAATTCTTCTAGAGAAATGTCTGATCCACCCCCTAAATTTGACAAGAACTGCCAACATAATCCTCCCACGGAGACAAAGGGCCCCTAGGGATTTCCCTTGGGTCTTTACCCCAGATACGAAGGTGTTTCCCGTTTCTGAGGGGGCCAGGTCCAAGCACAGGACGTCAGCCCCGTGCCCGTGAAAGCTCTGCAGCAGTTGCCCGCTCTCCACATCCCACAGGGCGCATGTCCCGTCGCCGCTCGCTGTCAGGATCTGTCCACAGAAAAGGACAGCAAGAGCGTTGTCATTATGACCTCTGTTGGGGGAAGTCACTCTGATGCTGAAGTTTGAAGGGGGAAAAGGAGGCTCTTGGAACACACACACAGACACATGCTTTGCTAAATCTGGATCCAAGCACAGAAATATTTCTCCTGTACTAAGAAAAAAAGTTCATTTACGACACCCTCACTGTCCTCGAGATGTGTGTTTATGTGCCTGTCCTCCTCCACAGTATGAAATCGAGAAGGCCTCCGTGCTGTCTCCGCAGAGCTCTGCGCCTGCCTGGCATGGAGGAAGTGCTCCGTGAACGTTTGTTGGACAGAACTTGCTCAGCTCCCATGAGCAGGCCAGACACTTCTAGTGCTTCTCAGCTCTCAATATGCTCCCCAGCCACCGGGCTGCTTGCTAATATTGCATCTGGGGTGGGGCCCGAGACCCCACAGCTCTCACTAACCCTCAGCTGATGGCAGTGCCAATCATGGGACCCTGCCTGGGGCAGCACTGGACCCCGTCAGGCAGCATTTTGTTAGACATGCGCTCCTGTGGCTGCTTCTCCTCGGAGCAGGGGAGTGCCCTAGACGGTCCTAGGGCCACCAAGATTCAACAAGCATTTACAGTGTGCTGATGACATCCAGGTGCTCTGCTAATAGGCATTCATTAACATTTGCACAAAGATTGTGCCTTGGTCTCTGCTGTCTTGATACTGACCTAATTCCGAGACCAGGCACACTTTCCTGGTGCTCTGCGAGGCAACACGAGACCGAGTGAAAACAATCTAGCGGCTTGCTTCAGGACATACCTGCTCCTGCAAGGGAAGACTGGGAACCCAAATGAAAGAAGGTAACCAGGACTATTAGCTTGCTCATCCAGACTCACTTCAGGACCTCCACCTAACGGGGCTCACCAATCAAAAGCTAGTGATGTCATTGCCAGTTTCCTGCCTTGAGAGACACACCTTAACATCACCCAGCCTCGACCCCCCACCCTTCCAAGTGTTCTTCCTCGATTTCTTCATTTTGATGTGCTGTGGAGATCGTCAAGTTGGGGTTCTCCCTGACTGCAGTAGGTCTAAGAAAGTTGGCACTGACGGATAGCATGTTTTCCCGAGGATCTCGGCAGACAAGATCACGATAGAGTGAGAAGTGCTAAGATCCAGGCAGGCCCGTGGGATGGACAGCAAGCCCACTCTGGCAACATCCAGGCCGGTCTCCAAGGATGCATGAGAGCTGGCCAGGTGAAGGCCTGCACAAAACGAGAGGTCGAGAGGTCGGAGGACTCTGACCCGCGGGCAAGATGGAGCTGTGGGAAGCTTCTGAGCCAGAAGATAAGATCAAAGGCAGGTTTTAGGAAAATATATCTCAGGTCAGTGCAGCCAGCCCTCAAACAGCTTCTGCAAACTTCCAAGTACAAGGGCCAGCCATACAGTGAGAGGAAGCCTGCAGCACCTGGGGAGAGGCACAGCGGGTGGAGTTAGGGTTTTAATTTTTGCCACAGCCAGTGTGTGTGAGGCTTGGGCTCAGGCTGAGCATAGCTTCGTGGGGCTGAGGGAAAGGCAGAGGAGGTGCAGGGCTCCTAGCCTCTCAGACCCAGCTGGCGGTACTGTAGAGCCTAGGGTGCTGATGGCACAGCCTCCCTGCACCCCCACCTTCCTGCTGCTCACAGGGCCTGGATGAGGTGATAAGACTGCAGGAAGAGGCTCTTGTAGGGTCAGTGCCACATAGAGAGCCCTCTGTGAGTGCAGATTACCGATGGCTGAGGAGAGGAAATGAGTACCAGGCTTAAGGACTGCTAGCATTCAGTGCACCCACTGACTGCACTGCGCCTACAAATCCCTCCTGTTGGTGGTGGTTTTCTCTCTTTTTTTTTTTAAGATTTTATTTATTTATTCATGAGAGACAGAGAGAGAGAGAGAGAGAGAGAGAGAGAGAGAGGCAGAGACACAGGCAGAGGGAGAAGCAGGCTCCATGCAGGGAGCCTGACTTGGGACTCGATCCCGGGACCCCAGGATCACGCCCCGAGCTGAAGGCAAGCACTAAACTGCTGAGCCACCCAGGGATCCCCGGTTTTCTCTTCTCTCCTTCCTTCCTGTTCTCTTCCCTTCTCTCTTACAGGTACTTACAAAGAATCTTTTTTTTTTCTATGCAGGAGAGAAACACAACTCAGGAAGAGGAATCTACTCTCACCCTGATCTGGTGCCTCCTGCCTGCCAGCAGTCTGGGGAGGCCTAGAATCTCCTTGCAGCTAGGAGAAGCCACTTTGGAGGTCCTCCCTGAAGCAAGAGCTGGATGAGTTCCAGAGAGCTTAGGCTTCTTGGGTGTGGCCCCCAAGACCCTTCTCAAAGCTCCCACTCAGGGGCAGCTCTCAAATCTGAGGAATCTCCAAGGCTGCAAAGCTCCTGTTTTGTGGGACTCCCTCAAACCTTGGCCTGGGTACACCCAGGCTTATAAAAGCAGCTTATGAAAACACAAGACTTAGACTGGGTCTTAATTTGGGTACTTATATTTTATAATATACTGTAATTCCTTTTACTCTCTCCTGGCCCACACCCACTCCTGCCCTAACACTTGCAGAGAGCCAATAATCTCCAGTCTTTTTTGGGACACCCAAACAATCTGCTTTAAATGATTACCTCAGCTTAGCTCTTTAATTTGCAAATTTTCCATACCATATTCTTCAAAGAAATGAAGGGTTTTTAAAAGTTATAAGTAAATAGTAAAGAAATATTAAAAAAAACTTAATATTTTTGTGATCTTCATTACAAGTAAAAATTGAGTTTAAAAACCAAACGCTCATCACGATAAATGCACTAAACAGAACTTCTAACACGCTGTCAGTCATTTATTCAGAATGTAGAGAATTTGTAGGTTATGGGGCCCCTAGGTGGCTCAGTTGGGTAAGCTCAGGTCATGATCCCAGGGTTCTGGGATTGAGCTCTGCATTGGGCTCCCTGCTCAGTGGAGAGTATGCTCCTCCCTCTCCCTCACCCCTACTTGTGGTCTCTCGCTCTCCCATATAAATAAAATCTTAAAAAAAAAATTTGTAGGCCTAACATTGTAATCTTATGACAGCCTCTTGACTTTTTCTTTTTCCATCCTTGATTATCAAAATGGAAGGAAACTTAAGATTCATTAAGGTACCCAAACCAGGCCATGCATCTGAATCACCCAGGAAGCTATGATTATTAATAATAATAAAGTAAAAAAAAATAAAGTAATCAGGGATCCCGGAGTGGCTCAGCAGTTTAGCGCCTGCCTTCAGCCCAGGGCGTGATCCTGGAGTCCCGGGATCAAGTCCCACGTTGGGCTCCCTGCATGGAGCCTGTTTCTCCCTCTGCCTGTGTCTTTGCATCTCTCATGAATAAATAAAATCTTTAAAATAATAATAATAATGAAGTAATCAAACCTAACATTTATTGATATTTACCAGGGGCTATCCTAAGCATTTTACACAAATCATGCCATTCAATCCTCAGAATACCTTATGAGAGAAGAATTTGCTACCATTGTCTCTTGAAAGTGAGAAACAGGAAACAGAATAAGGGCAACCCTTTCGGGTCCCCGCCCTCTTCGAGAGCTTTGTGCTCTATCACTTGATAAACTTTACTATTGCTCAATAAACTTTGCTGTGCCTACCAAAACAAAACGAAGAAACAAAACAAAAAACCCCAAAACCAATAATAAAAAAACAGAATAAAATCTTGTTTAGGGGATCCCTGGGTGGCACAGCGGTTTGGCGCCTGCCTTTGGCCCAGGGCGCGATCCTGGAGACTGGGGATCGAATCCCACGTCGGGCTCCCGGTGCATGGAGCCTGCTTCTCTCTCTGCCTCTCTCTCTCTCTCTCTGTGTGTGTGTGACTATCATAAATTTAAAAAAAAAAAAAAGACCATTTAAAAAAATAAAATCTTGTTTAGGGGACACCTGGGTGGCTCAGCGGTTGATTACCTATCTGCCTTCGGCTCAGGGTGTGATCCTGGAGACCCGGGATCGAGTCCTACATCGAGCTCCCCCCAGGGAGCCTGCTTCTCCCTCTGCCTGTGTCTCATGAATAAATAAATAAAATCTTAAAAAAACCCAACTTTGTTCAGGACTGAGCCGCTAGAACACAGTGAAGCCAGGATTTGATCCCAGGTGCCTGACTCTGAGCCAAGACCTTCACCCTGCTCTGTCTTCCAGGGAGCATCCGCAAGGTGGTAGCCAGCAGGGCCGCCTCTATCCTGGGCTAGCTCCTGCTTTGCAGGAAAGCACTTTCTAGCTTACAGGTGCCCTTTTGATCTCCACCTCCAGCACCTGTGGTAACACAGGGTGAGGGTGATGCGATTCCACCAGAGGGACTTTAGATATCTGAAGACTCATTGTTCTTGCATCCCTCTGAGCCTTCCTTCATCCAGGCTAAATGTTCTGTGTTACTTTGGCTGCTCCTGGGGCCCAAAGACACCTGGTTCTGGCCACTGCAGCCAGCCCAGCCACAGTGCTCTCTACCGTCCAGGTCTATGAGAATCCTGGTCGCAAACAACAGGTGCAAACACTGCACACTGAGTCCGAACACCCTTCTGCTCAGCAGTTAAACAGCCAGTCACCTGGTCTCCCTGCCACGAGACTCGCCTCCCCTTCTGACCTCAGCCAGCTGAAACCAGAGTGGGCCATGGAAGGCTTTAATCTGACTCAGATACTCTCCTTAAAGAAACCCAAATCTGACCCAGCTCCTGCAATGGTTCCCTGTCCATCTCGAGGGTCAGGCGGACTCAGGGGCCCCTTTGATCTGGCCCTGCCCACCTCTCAGGCTGCCTGTCTCCCACTGGGCTGCCCTCACACTTCACTGGCAACACCCCCTTTCTCCAAGGCTTACCATTTCAGCAAGTTTGCCACCACCCCTCCCGTTCTGAACTTTCAGCTTCCCCCGCTGTTAATCACAGATGGTTTCCATGAAGGTCCTGAGAACAGAGACTGAGTGTGAGCGAGTCCACCTCCAGAACCGGCGGTATCTGGCAATGTGG